CTCAGGCTCGAGTGCTTTAGAGAGGGAACCTCCAGAGCACTCTATCTTAGAGGTTTGTGTGACGAAAAACGCAAAAAGACTTCCCACTCTCATTTTCGAACTGTGCGTTTTCCACGTCCCCCTGCCCTGGGAAGCGTACACGACTTCCCAGGCTCAAGCATTGGGGTAGAGCGGAACAACTTTACATAAACATGCAGTGACGAATTAGGGAGTGTCATATCTGCCAGTTGTGCTAACCCGTCGTTTAAGTATATACGGGCAGTTTTGGAGGCGGCCCACCGCCCTTGGACAAGCAGTCGATCGAATGATCCGTGTTGGTTAAACCAAAACGTAGCCCCACCTCTCCTGAGGCTGTAGGGTCTGAATCTAAGGGTGTCAAACGCAATGCTTCTAGAGCATTGTTGAACAGGGTACGCCAGGCATGTGGCTTAGCTGTTAAAAATTCAACAGGACGAGCACGCTGTTTCCAGCGGTACAGCGCTCCAAGCACGGACTCCTCGTGCAGTGTAATGCTCTCAGCTGCTCCCTGCCGAGCACCTGCCTTAGTCAACCCTAAGGACAGAACAGCTGGACCCTTGGGAGAAGGAATAAAGACGTCTTTCGCTTGTAAGGTCAAAAGTTCTCCTGTGCGCAGCAAACCGAAGAAGGCAACCCGCAAGGACAAGGCCATAAGGGGCATCTCTTTCATGATGAACCAGCCACACATAGCATCCAAAACTAGAAGCGTCATAGGAGGGGCACGCCGAGGAACCTCTGCAGTGGACCATGCTTTCAACAACCTCCAGCTCCCGGCAAGGCGGCGCTTAAGCCCGGGCTCTTTGTCTTGTAGGGCGGCAAGGGTATTGTTCGCCACGGATTTGCTCTCTCCTGTTGCCCAGAGGAACTCAAGGTAGTCAGAGACGACATGGTCCATGGCCTGCGCGCGCTTTGGGAGGGCAAGGCCCTCCCCTGCCAACCAATCCACAAATTTGTCAAGACAAGTCTGATAACGTTCACGTGTTCGAGGTTGTACCGTCAAGCCCTTCAAACTTCCAAGCTGCTTCCTGACTTTGATGCGCTGTTGTTGACTACGGCCTTCCATCACTTTTGCGGCTTTCTTACCCATTTTCGTCGAATAGGCCGCCGCGAGGGGCGGTCCGCTGGGTTCTGGTGCGTATCCACATAGGACCACGCACCCACTGAGCCGCTTGCCAACAACAACGCGCCAATCTTTGCCAGGGTTCGCCGGAGCTTTCGACTAGACGACCTCCCTCGCGAGAGGGCGTGCAACACAACCAAGGAATCAACAAGATGCACAAATCGCACCGGCCCTTCATGCAACTCTTTGATACGCCAAATGAGACTAGTCTTGACCGCCCTTAGTTCCAGGGCATTTATGTGCTCAGGATCACCAGTCCACCTCCAACCAATGACATCACGCCAGCGCCACAACTTGCTTGGGAGGGAGGCTCGTAGCCGATGGTACCGCGCCGGAATGTCCGAACCCATCTGTAAGAGAATGTCCTCCCCTTTGACCGAAACCTGCCCCAACAACTTGCGGACAAGGCCTGTCCCCGGTTGCGTCGCCCGGGTGTCGTGGCGAATGGGGGCACGCAACAACAACCCTGCAAGGTCCGCAGAACAGCCTGGCACCAGCCGATCGACAATGTCCTGAATACTCAGCCGCGGCATCCAACCCAACAAACGAAACAAGGAATAAAGCAATACGCAGACAACTGGGACCGACCAAGAATTCCAGCGGGCGATAGCGTCCGGCGGGCAGAGCGACAACCCGGCCGGTTTGCGCCCTGGCTTCAAAGAGGGCCTAGCCGTCGTGAATGTTGGGAAACAACCATCTTCATTCACCCGTTTCCACCCTGCCTCGAGGAAGTCATCAGCGGTGACCTGTGCGCTGAGAAATATGTGCCCTCGCACTGGGAGGCCCCGGGCTCTCCCCTCTACAATATTGCACCCATCTTGTGGCAGAATATCCCAATCACACCAGTAGAGCCGGGGCCGCCTGGCCAATGAAATGCCTCCAGCGTCCACAAGCCATGGTTCCATGTGATAGGCACTATTCATCGCCTCACAATCGTGCTCGTCCATCGAGGCCACGTTCTCAATCAACCGGTAAGTAGGGCACCACCGAAATACCTTCTTCGCTAGAGCCTCTATCCGTGGGACTTCTTGGAACAAGGAGGACCTAGCATCCCGCATTGCACCCTTGCGATCTGCGTTTAGCCCTGATACACCTTGACGTGGTGGTCCAGCGCCTAAGATCACCATGGACACCGACGTGAACCTCAGTGACCACTCTGCCACCATCTCTAAATCAACCTGTGCAACATCTTGGATTCTGATAACGTCAGGGAAAAAGGACTCGACAACCCTACTGGCGGCATCGTCAATCTCCACCGAGATGTATCCCGCAACGGGGACCCTCAGGCAGTCCAAGGCCACCCTTAGGGCACCGATCCCATCAAACAAGGAAACGACAAGGACCTGGTCCATCTCGTCGGGGTTCAAGACATCTCCGCGAGCCTCAGCCTGAGACGCGGCCAAGCCATAAGGGCTGACTCCCCTTGATACACACAAGCCACCTCCAGTCGTGGAAGCATCGCTTGCTGTGACGTGTTCGGATACTGGGAGTCTAAAGTTCATGAATGCCAGTGGACTGAGTGAGACAAACCGGATCAACTCGAGCTCCACATCCTTTCCCAAAGGTTGTCTGACGTGGCTGCCCAACTCCTTCATGCTGGTGATCTTTCTCCAGATTGCATTAAGCCCAGAGAGCAAGGGTCGCCGGAACATGGCAATGTAAACAAAGCCTCCACCTATCACCTGTAGTTCCCTCATGGTTGCCTTCCCTGAAACAACTGCCTGACATGCCAGCCCCAAGTAGCGTGCCACCTTGGAATGCTTGGGAGCTGCCGCGCCTTTGCTCCCATCAACCCATGCACCCTGCACTTCGGCCACACCGGCCTGCTCCACTGCTTTCTTTGGATGTCGTGGTAGTCCTAGAGTGGTGTAGGTCTCCCGAAAAGCCAACGTCCAATCCGATGGTGTGCCCTCAATCAACCCCGCAACTCTCCGGTCCACCTTTTGCAACTCATCGAAGTTGTCGAGGTACACCCGGAACAAATGGTCTGCCCTGCTGCTAGTGCGATCTCGCCTAATTTCCTGGTGCCTGGTGGCTAGCCTCGCGTCAGCATGCAGTGCTTGAGAGATGACACGTCGATGCACGTGCTGAGCTATTGCGACAGAGTTCACAAACCCCATGGGCAAGACTTTGGTGACAAGGTGCCACCCAGGTCCATCATGCCCCACTGGGAGTGCTTCGGAGGGCACCTCCCTTGCAAAGCCCATATACCGCCACCACGACTGAGGGGTTTGGAAAAGGTAAAAGAAACACCGTATATCTTCAGACGAGGTCAGTAGCAGCTGGTCATCTTCAAGGATGATGGAAGACAGCCCCACCACTGTTGGCAAAGTACATGTGTCCCCGACGAGGTTACGGCTGATCGAGTTGGTAGGAACCAAATTCATAATCAATCTACAAACATCGAACTCAACCCCGTCAGGACCAACCCCTTTTTCCCCTTTTTCAACGGCAAACAGGCCGTTCATCAAAGGGCGTCCACAAATATGGTGCAGCTCATCCCGCTTCATCACCCCACAGACTCCCCGCTCAACCAATCCACGGCAGACCTCGGCCCAGTCGCAGTGGTCCACCATGATCGCGGGAGTCTTTCCAATGAACTGATCCTGAGGCGGGAGCAGGCACTTCTCGAAATTGAGCACGTACTCGAGGGTTCCTTGTTCGCAGAAATCTGTCAACCTCAAACTTCCTACACCCTGGGGTAATGCAGCCTCCACCATCTGCCAAGTGAAACGACGAGCGACTTTGACCTCCTCCCCTCAATAATCTAATGTCTTCGTCCGGAAGAACTCCTGAAACGGAAGGTGGTCCCACTTTTCGCCCAGTAGACTGCACTCCACAAGAACCTTCTCCAGTTGATGTACCAGCTCACGGCTCACTTTCCTGGGGTTACCCTTAGAACGGCTTCTCGACCCAGCAAGTAGGTTCAGCCCACGAATCATTGCCTCAAGGAAGGGGATGTGGTGACCGGACAACCCTAGATCTGATGGAAGGGGGGAGGGGAAAGATCCCCTCCGAGGACTGTCCGCAACGCGTGTTCACATGTAGTTCAAACACTTCCATCAGTTTGGCTAAGGTCTCCCCCGCATCTCCCACGACTGCTGAGTCATTCTGGCACTTGTTTTTGAGCAACAGGCGTAATTTCTCGAAGTCCTCAACTCCTGCTCTGACACTCCTCTGCCCCAAAATGGGGTCATGTTGAACTCGGGCTGCACCCCTCGGCACGGCATCAAAGCCAGTCGAGGACCCGATGTGGGGAAATTCGCAAAAGCTCAGCCTCCGGACGGCACTCCATCAAACGCTGTCGCCCAGAGTCTTTCCCTCTTCTCTGGGAGCCCTCGCCTCGCTCCCCTACCTCCTGCGGCCGGCTGCCAAGACCATCCTCAGCTTGAATCCTCATCTGCACTGGGAGGCGACCCATGCCTGCCTCCCTTGCATCCGAATCCTCAAACTGGGAGGGCCCCAGGCAGTCCGTCCCATCCTCAGCCTCTGCAACGCCGGCCCGGCCCGGAGCAAACTCTGGATTTTTCTCAACAGCAGTTGCTCCCCCAGGCTCATACTTCCTTGCCCTCTCTTGGCAATCTCGCAGAAGCTCCTCTATCGCTTCCACGTCCTCAGCCTCTGACCTTGCCTCTTCTGCCTGAGTACCTGTCTCTTGCCATTGCACTTTTCGCATCTTTTTTCTTTCTCTGTTTGGCGACTTTCCTCTGCTACCTCCTGACCTTTCCTCTGATCCTTTTGCTGTTCCTTCTTCAGTCCTCCCGGCCTCTATCCTTCGGTCTTTCCTTCCTTTTCCCATTTGCCTTTACCTTTTTTCCCCTTCTCTCCTCTGTCTCTGTAGGCCGGTTCTGAAGATGGAACAGCTTTACCTCGACTCTTTCCTTCATTGTCGCCCTTTCTTCCCATCCCGTGGGGCCTGCTTCCCATGGACTTGTTCCTGAAATCCTCGCGGGCGTGCCTTGCCGCCTCATAGCTCTCGCCTGCCTCCGCCATGGCAACCTGGTCGGCCCCGACAAGCTCTAATTGGCGGGATACTGTGTAGTGCCCACCCTTGAGGGTGGCCTCAAGGGACTTGGCCCTCTGGACCAAGATGTCCAGCGCACTTGCAATCTTGCGCCGGAGGATGAGATCGCTCGCCTGAGCTATAGTGTTCATCTCTTGCCAGAGAACTGGTGATGCAAGTGGCTTTAAGTGTTGATGTGCATAAATGGCAAAGATGGGAGCCAACTGCTCCCTTGAGCTGCTGTAAAGGTCTCATCAGGTGCTCTCTCATATTCTCCAGTGCTTGCATGGTCAGAGCGCCCGGATAGTGGGCATGGAGTCGCTTGACTCTCCTCGTTTCCTCGAAGAGCGGCGCATCAGCGTCAGAACCCTCCTCCTCCGATGTGTCTGTAGAGCTGCTCTCTGCGTCCTCTGAACTGCTTGATCGCTTTCGCTTCTTGTCGGACTTTGCCTTCAACTTCCGAGCTCTCTTCATCAGCCTCCTCCTGCGACTCACATTGGGGTCCAGGCACGTCCCACGGAAGATTGCTCGCGCCGTCTTCTGACCCCTCTCCAAAACCTCATCACGCTCCTGAGCCTCAAGCTTCTCTTCCCATTCCTTCTCTGCCTTCCTCTCCTTTACCTTCTTCTTCTTCTTGTCTTTTTCCTTTCCAGCTTTCTTCTCAACTTCAACCTCCTCGGCCCCGGCCTCCTTGGCCTTGGGAGGCTTCTCGCCTCCCCTGCCTTTTCCACGCTCCTCAGCCATCCTCCTCAAAGAAGACAATTCATCGAACTCTGCGACGGCCTTCTCGGAGCGGTTCATTTGCCACTCCTTGGGGGACACCGCACAGTCCCAGAAGCCCCGGGCATGGAATAACTTCAACCCCGTATCCAGCTGCGCGCAACCCTCCTTGCAGAGGTGGACCTTGACCAACCGATCTTCGCCTCCACCAAAGGTCTCCATCACGCTCTCGGTCTGGGTACCTGTCAGGATGAAATCCATCCGCTCCTCCGCTGGGTGAAGGGCCCGCACTCGCCCTGCCACATGCACGGAGGCATTGTAGTATGAAGCCCTGTCCAACTCGATCACGTCCAGAGCTCCCAATCTTTCAAGCGTCAGGTCGTTCCATGAGTGAAGCTTCTCCACTGGGAGGTCCCCCTCCCCTTCCGCGGCAGGTCTGTGGCGAGGTCGGGCGCGAGGAACTGATGAAGCCGGTCGTCTCATCTTGGGAGCCATTGTCTCCCTTACCACTTGTACCGGCCTCCGCGGCCGTATGACTTCCTCTCCTGAAGCTCCTGCTTCGCTCTCTTTGTGATTCCTTTGTTGGTCCCTTGAGTCCAACGAGGATGGTTCGAGTAGGGTACTCTACCCCTCCAACCACTTCCCTGCGATTTTCCTTTGCTTCCTCCCTTAGATCCTGATGATCTTCCTGGTGGAGGTCGTTCAGGTGTATGAGGTGATCTGGGCTGCCTCTGCGTAGGTCTCGGCCTCAGATGTGGCTCTCTCTCTATTGCAGGCTCCTTCACGATCTGTGGCTTCCTCCTTTGCTTTAAAGCTCCGCTTCTTGGGAGACGCGTCTCCCTTCTTCTCCTCTTCAACCTGGCCCTCGCTGGGAGCAGATTCTCCCTTTTCTGGACTGTCCTCAGGTAGTAGTCGGCCGATGGAGTAGAACGCCGAGTCCAGTATCTTGGTAACTTTTGCCTGGGCTTCCTGAGTCGGCGGAAGACGAGGGCCAGTGGCGGCAGCTACCAACCGCAAAGCTGAAGCGCACACGGAGCACGAACCTGCAAGGAGCGACCACTTCTTGCAGGATGAGCAAACAGGCATCCCCTTCGAGCCCAATGCTACGGTGAAAAGGCGGAAAGTGTTGTGTTTACTCATGTGGCCATAAGAACATATATATATATATATCTACCGAAGCCCCACTAGCTAGGCCGTCGGCAGGGAAACTGCGAAGCGCGCCAAGTGCTGCGGCAGGTCACCATAGCCTTCAAGCCTTGGTTCAATTTTAAGATTCCTCCAAGTGCATTCCCGAAACTATGGGGTCAGTTCGCGGTACGTGCATACATTGCTGACCCTTTTGTTGTTGGACAGGGCCTTTGCCAGTTGGCAAATGCCACACGAAGAGCAGGTGGGTCAGACCCTGTATGTGATTGAGAACCCAGAGGGCAAGACACGTTTCAGTCAAGCTCTTTCAACACAAATACATCGTGCATCGTAGCAAGCACTGGATAAATCCACAACGGTCCTAGCAAGCAAAGGCCCACTCCATTTGTTCACGTTCTCTGTGGTCAAATCCCCGTAGTACCTCCGCAAGACTTTACGGGCACCTGTCTGCGCTCTAGCAGCACTTCGTTGAAACTGATCAAAACATGACTGGAGAGCTGTCAGTTCGGTCACTTGTCCAGCTTGTTCCTGATGAGAATCGTGCGCTTATATGTTGGATCCACCTGCTTTGCTTTGCCCAAAGTGGCAAAACCTGACAAAGCAGAAGTGTTAACTAGTAACAAGGTGCATCGCTACTAGTTGCACCCGTCTTTTCATGTCTGTATTTTTTTTTCAAAGCCACCCATCAGGCTCTTTTCCTGAAGTCATGTTGCCTGCGGCGTCTCCAGCTTCTTCTACACAAAGCATGATGTTGTTTTCATCATTCCTTAAATCGGCAATTCTTCAAGCGTTCAGCAACTAGCGCTTGGGGCCTGAGAGCCCGGCATGAATTTGAAGACTAAGCTGTCTATCTTTTTCGCGAGCTGCTGCATCGCATCATCCTTAGCATATGACCTGGCAGCACATGATGCATGAGTCCTGCGTGAGCATCGGAAGCATCTCAGAACACCCCCCACCTGAAACCTGGAAGGTCTACCAAGCCCAAGTCAGTGCAGTCTTCACCTGAAAATCTTCAGGCAGCACACATCAAACCGCCAGTGGCAAGCCCTGTCCGAATCCGCCTAAAGAGTCTGCGGCGAGGCTAGTGACTTTTGAAGAATCCTGCCTTCCACTTTCACTCTGATGGGCATCTCGCTCACATTTTGCCCACAAGCCTCAGCTTTCCGAACCAAACCCCGCAAACCCCACATGTTGCCAACAAGGCAAAGGCCTCGTGGGCACTGCCGACGATGTGCATAACCTCTTGCACTGGGTAGGAATCCCATCTCTTCAGGCTCTCGTCAAAAACAGACCACCTCAGGAAGCTTCTCAAGCTCTCTTCAGATCTCAGGGTAAGGGCTTCCTGGGCCCTTTAATAAAGGTGCCTTGTTAAAGGAATCTTACCTTCTTTTTGTCTTCTCCCTGTTGGCCCCTTTCGGCATGGCAATGTCTTTGTGTTGCTCTTTATTTATGTTCCTCTTCGTGGTACCGACTCAGATTGCCTAGCCTCGATGGGCTCAGTCCGGGGACATTGCGGAACTCCAGCACTGTTGGCCGCCTGCAGAATCATGGGGAATCAGGAAAGAGTGAAGAAAAGTGAAGTCATGGCCAAAGACAGGCGTTCCTGTTTCCTGTAGGATCCGTTATATACATCTGTGTATACACGTCATACATGTACATATACATTATGATATTATATATATATATATACATATATATTATATGTACATCTGAGCGTCTGCTAAAAGGTCTTGCAACGAAAAGAACATGATTCAACAAAGTTGTCGCTTGTGGGGAGACCTAGCCTTTTCAGGCCCCAGCCACACTGTCAACACAGCTGAACATATCAAAAGACGCGGCAACATAGTTATCGCTTTGAAGGGGGCTATTGCTCTTTTAGGGTTTTAGCCAAGTTCCTGAAATTTACACAACCCTTCTTTACTAAATTGGTCATCGCCGAGTCATCGCACGTTTTGGTAGTTGCTCATATGTCACAGTGACCCCCATTAGCTGAAGTGAGCCCAGTAGAAATCGGCGTGGCCAAGAAAGTCGAGGCGAAGAGGCGGAGTCCATGTTTCTTGGTCCAGCGTCATCCTCCCGATTGGTACGCCTCGATCCCAGAGTGCCAGAGACAAAGTTGAAGGTCTCACCAGCCAACGCCTCAGGTTGAAAGATCAGCAATGTGTAGGCTGTGCACTTCAAAGGATCCAAACAAAGGAAAAATTGAAAAAATAAAAGTTGGAAAAAGCAAGTCTTCCTCGTAAACTTGAAAGCACTCTTCAAGGTGCGAATATGTTTGTGCTCAGCAGGAAGAAGGCTTGACTCAAAGGACAATGTAAAATGCTGAAAAGTCCAAACATCAGCCAGCTTGCCTCAATAAGCCGTGACTTTCCAACACTCTGCTTCCCAATCACGATGAATTGCGGGATGGGGAAGCTAAGGCTATCAACCTGCTGCTGGTCTTTCAACGTGAACCCAATCATGTTCCACCTTCACATAAAAGGCAGCATCTTGGCCTTTCCATCCAGTCTTGCTTTGACTTCGCAGATCAAGTTCAGCAAGTGCTTTTTCCTGACTGGCTTGCAGTCCAGGGTTTAGGGGTGTCAAATGACATGCACAAAAAGTGGCTTCGAGTGTTTTTTGGCCAAGCCAGCCTACATTCTGCTGCATCCTCGACCTAAGCTACTGTCAAGAACTATTTCTGCCATTGGCTACCCGCAACAGCTACCGTCACTGACTTCTTCTCTGATGGCTCACCGAGCCTTTCAGCTGAAAAATTGAAACGCAAACGGGCAACAGCCATGGTAGCAGAGTCCTACCACTGTTTCACTGCTCAAGCTGAGCCAACGTTGCATGCATGGCCCTCGGGCGGTGGCACGCATCGAAGGCAAAAACAAGTTCCTTGTGAGTGACACACACTATTCCTCTGTATGTGTATGTGTATACATACTTTGGAAACAGTATGAAGTTGTTGCGCAGCTTTTTCCGGCAAGGAAACAAGTCGACTGATGCATTTGCAGTCCTTAGCCAAGGACGAGTGTCAGCTGGAACCAGCGCTAAACCCACAACTACACGCATCTCTCAAGGCAACTGCAGCTTGATTCTCCCAGTAACTTACACAACGGTGCTCAACATAAAGGGTCAACTCGCAGCCCACAGAAAGAGCAAAAAAGCTTGCGAATTGCAACCACAGCTCACTGCTCCTCGCATTGAACATGCTCGTGCAGGTCAAGCATTGATCCCTCCGCACTGCCTCCACGTGGTGTCCAGTCATGTACAGAACATCGTCATCAGAGAGATTCAATCTTCAAGACATAATCACCATCAAAATCTCAGGGCTCGGATCATAGAAGTAACAAAAGCCAGCAAGCAGGTAGAATACCAAAAAGCCAAAACGTTGCATCAATGTTTTTCATTTCAACAGTCAGTTGGCCTTGTAACGACTCCCGAAGCTTGCAAAGCCTTGTGGGTCAACTGCAAAGCGTGGCTCAATCACAAGTGCACAGCACAATCAGAATCGTGTTGTTCCTACTGTTCCCAAAAACTGCCAGCACACCTATGCCCTCATGGATATCTGTAAAATCAATGGTTTCCAGATAGTTTGTTGCTGAAAACTCAGCAGCAATCGAAGGGTAAACGTGCAAACGGTCCAGCAGCTCAAATTCTGCGTAGGGGCTCAGCAGCTCGCTGGTCTTGAGCCGCCCGCACCTGGCCACGGTCGAAAGCTGTTGTCAAATCATGAGGCCAACGACAACTGTACCACATTTATATATACATATGGGGGGAAGCTGCGGGACCGTGGTACACAAAAGAGGCCTTGCATAAAATGAAATGCCTGTCCTGATGTCGGTTGTGCTTTATGAGACCAAATGATGAGATGATTGCAAAATGATGATATAAAATATTTACATTTTGTGCATATGGTACCACCCAAAGCTCATCTGTCCTGTCAAGCATTGTGTTTTGGAAGCCAAAAAGACCAGTATAAATGGACACTTTTTTGATACCTTTATGGAGGGGTGGTACTTAATTCGTACATACCTACATACCTACTTACCTACCCACCCACCTACCTACTTAGCTACCTACATACATACATACATACATACCATACCATACCATTACATTACATTACATTACATTACTGTACATATATGTACATATATACTTACCGCATATGTATATGGTGTGGTGGCATGATGTTTTGAAGTCATCTGGCATATGGTGTTGTGTACAGTACATTGTTTAATATTGATGTGAACTTAGGAGTATTGGGAGGTGGACAAAAACTAGTTCGAACCAGTTCAGGCCTGGAATCACGAACAAGATTCCCCTGAAACTTTCCTCGTGGCGTTATTTACCTTGAAGATATTAAAGGTCTTGCTAATGTTTGTTTATATGGTGATCAGCATGGTACTGTTACTTCTATCTCTGCCGCATCAATGAAACAAAAATTCAAAGTAAAACATTGATGACATTAGCGTATGCAATTATCAGTGGTGCAGCAGCTGGGGGGTTGGCATGTCTGAAGCTTCTACAGTACTTGATGTGGCTATGAAATTGAACAGCTGTAAAATATTCTACAGCCAAGGCATTATGTCTTAACATCGTATTGATGAAGCTATTCCTACCAAAAACCCTAATACAAACACAACTGTTGCCAATCATACATGTGTGTGTGTGCGCAAATTGGCTTCCAAAATGTCTTTTCCCAAAATGGTGCACTCATCGCAATTCCATGGGGGCCCGCTTCTTCTTTAAGCTCCAACCACACTCAAACCACAGGGATGTTAAACATGAAGGCATGTGAGAGGTGTCTAGCGCGGACCTTTTCAGGGGCCTGTTGAGCTGCTGGAGCTGTTGTTGTTGCTGCTACTGCTGCTGCTAGACCTCTGCAGTTGTTCTCAGAAATCTTCAGAACGACATAGGAAGGGCGTAGGGGCTGACTCAAAAGGTTTGGGCGTTGGATGGGCAAACGGTCAAGAAATGGACCGTCGTCTAGCGCGGTGCTAGCGCGGATCTAGCGCCAGCCTAGCGCAAAAATATCCCTCGATTTCTTTATCCTGCAAGATTCTTATTTTTTCCTGCTTGCTTGTCTTCTTCTTCCTCCTCTTCTTCTTCTTTTTCTTCGTCTTCTTCGTCGTCTTCTTCTTCTTCTTCTTGTGCGTTTTTCCTTTGTTTGTCTTGCTTCTTCTTTTTTCCTGCTCTCTGCTTGGTTCTTCTTTTTCCTGCTGCTTATCCTGTTATGAAAAAAACCTGCGCCAACCTAGCGGTGCCTTGCTGTATCACCATAGTCTGCTGGGGGCGCGCTTCTAAACGAAGACTTAAAAACACCTCTCCAACTTTATATATATATAAGTTTATGTTTATCTATATTTTTTGAGTAGGGTTTTTTGAGCGCAGTCCAGTGGTTATGGTGACACTCAATGGTAAAGTCTAGTCTATAGCTACAAATCCAACAGTCTTTGCTAAAGTTGGCGGAATACCTGAGATCTTTCTTGATGATAAATATCAAGTGAGACAAAATGTAGTAGTTGCTATTGGGAGATGAGATTGTCAAAATCAAATGAATAGAATAATCTATATCATAGGTCATCCCTGCAATTCTAGAGGTTTGCGGGATGCAAGGACAAGGGCTAAAAAATTACATCGCTTTGAAGCGCGCGAAGAGCTTCAGAGCCAAGCAAATCACTGACTGGCTGGCTGGCTGGCTGACTGGCTGACTGGCTGACTGCCTGCCTGCCTGACTGACTGACTGGTAAGCTTGAGTCAGCCCCAGATTCGAGTGATCAGTATTAAAAATATGAAAACCAGTGTTGTAAGAACCATTATGGAAGTTTCCAAATTGGATGTCTGACGTGTCTGATATAGCAATAACGGCACATAACAGGCAAGATATTGTGCACATTGGTAAAGACTATGTCGTACCTAGTCCTTTTGATCCTAGACTCTTGACGGCAACACCAAAAGCTGCCGGGGGTCTGTCTGATTTGCAATCGCTTTCTATACTTGAGCTAAGGTCAGTACATGACGAGATTTTGTCCATGTCACGCGCCCTAGTTAGCTGGCTTGTTTAAGCTCATATCCCTTGTATTGCAGCAATTTGTACTATATAATATCTATGGAGGTGTCAACTTATCAAAGAGAATCAGTCTTCAGTCGTATTGCTCTTTGTGCCTCTCAAAAGGTAGACTCTGGGCAGTATCTAACTCTCTTGGCCCACAACTACGGTTGAGCAGCGTGCAGTGCATTCCTGACCTAAAATCCAGTTTCTGAAGTGGTCTCCAACGGAACTTGTGCACGCAGTATGAAAACTATATCTCAAAAAAGCTCTTACCTCATCCCACTTCTCCCTTGGCCCATCCCATGGCAAAAGATAGTGTTCAAAGGAATTTCTTGCCTCTCTGAAGCTCTCCAGGCAGCCTTCGCTGCAAAAGACCCTGCAAAGCAGCGCGCATCATCAGAACGTATGCAAAAGAATCACATAGTACTAACCGCATGCATAATTTGCATAACAATAAAACAGACTGCAAATCAGGTCACACATAGTACTCCATTGCATGCAGAAGCGTAGGCGTACTGACACAAATTAGCCCGGGCTGCAAAACTTTGTGCTGCAACCCCCAAACATTTGAGACAACAAAACCAACCTGCACAAAAATACCGTTTCTCTTTCAGCAATACTCCCAAAAGCAAGTCCACAACAAACAACCGAAAGAAAAGCATTGCCGGGGAATGACAGTAGTGACAGTCATGGGCGCTACAAGCAAGACAAACAATCCAAACTTTGGTTTCGTCTCGAGGCATCGACATAGGTCAAGGGTTAGGTTTTCGTACAGGTTTGAGTAAGCATGACAAACTAAACAAACCAAAGCATAATTGCCCCTAAGAACCTAGAAACTGTGTTGGCCATGCGAGTGGTTCTTCACGGGTTTCTCCCGCCCTCCAGTTTCAACGAAACTTCATACTTAGCTGCCCCCTCTTCATGGCCTGACCCCGCAAGATTAAGTATAAAAACAAACATTGTATGCACCGGTTCAAACATAAGATTGGATTGCAAAAACTAAACGCGTTGAAGTCAAAGCTGAGGTCCGGCCTGGAACCAGGTGTTCCTGGCCGCAAGGCCTGAGGCGCGGAAAGGGCCCCGCAGATATGAGATTGTGATGGGATTGTGTGATAACTGTTGCTTTTCAAAGACAAAATTCACGTTTTTTTGTAAATCTAAATAGATGTTAATAAATTCTACCAGAAGTCAATCATACCACCATAAAACGGGAACTTGACAATTCCAAGCAATGACAAGGCGCAATGTGTCTCTCTTGCATATTTGTTGGCTCTTCTCAACAGGCATACATAGGCACATGCACGCATACATACATACCTATCTACCTACTTACATACAGACAGACGGACGGACAGACCGAACTTGAATGCCACATGTGCCACACGCCCACCCAGCTATGAACGCCAAAGAGGTCAGGTTAAAGGTAAGCAACCGGGTTGACCATGAACCTGAAAGTCAAGTTCCAAAGTCACGAACTCGAGGAAGTCGACAAGAATTCGAGCGGCGAGCACTTGTCTGCAGAACTCAAAACAAGTGCAAAGGCTGGCGATCTTGTTGTAGTTAGAACGGGGCCCAGAAGGAAGTGAGTGGTGCTAACTGCAGGTACGTCAGGCTGATCAGGCCAGATATCAGCACGGAGCTTGACCCTAGCCGTTGCATCACCAATCAAGTCCGTGGGTGATCCCCCTGCAACTCCTTCAACGCAATCAAAGCGTTCCGTGTGACCTGAAAGGTTCTCACACACACGCCTCCCACTAGGGGCGGCAAAGAAACTATTTGACTCCAAGGGTTTCACACACAC